AGCATTGAAGTTTGAAATCGAGGTATAAGGAAGCATCAACAAATTATACTTCCAATACGTGATTGATTAACATACTTAACAACGATTGAAGTAGGTCGTGAAAATATACAGCGCAATTTGGTTGAACCGAACCGCCTCTCTGCACAGTACTCGCCGTAAGAACTCGGAAATTCACGCGAATACCTCGAATTCGCGTCTTTTTCGTCTTTTCTTTTCTTCTCTTTTCTTTGTCTGAAGAGTGCTATCTAATGATATATGGGTCGACGCGTGATGAAAACCTCCCTTCATAACCATTTTCTCCCATTCCCACTCGAAACTCCCATTCAAACTGCCCCACTTTCCCGCCACTATAGTACCCGTCCTCTGCAGTTCTAACCCCCCTCCCCCATAAAGTAATCATTGATCGATCCAAACCACCTTCTCCCAACTTCAGTACCCGTCACCTGTGGACCTAACCCCCCACTGAATATTTATTATTCAAAATGCTCCAATTTCCCGTCATTACAGTACAAAGCCGCTTGCGTATCCAGCTGCCCATCCAAGTAGACATTACTCGAAATCGCCCTCAGTTCCCGCCCCATCGGAACCTTGTCGCCTGCGAATCACCACCATTCAAACCCCGCGCCACTACAGTACCAGGCCACATGCGCATCCAAACACACCCAGCAGGAAACCACTCAGAGGCTGCTTTCATGGTCTACGATTTGGTGAGCGGCCGATCGCGCGATCGGTCGCTCGCCAAATCGTGGACTATGAAAGCAACCAGAGACAGTCTGCGGCAGAAAATGGTTGTGGAGGAAGGTTTTCGTCACGGGTTAACCTATATATCATTCGGTAGCATTTTTCACGGGGAATCTAAAAGTGCATAACCCAGCTACAAAAAGGCCAAGGAAAGGAAAAAAACATAATTTTGTGATTTGGGCGTGACGAAAAGCGAAGTTTGGAGCCATACCAAGGGAGAAATGTTGATATTTGATAAGGCGTCCCACCTAGCAGAATACAAAGGGTTGTCTACGATATTAGAGTGCCTTGCTGCCGCCTCCTCAGGTTCCGGAGAAAAACTCCTCGAAACATTGGAAAATGTCAAAAAAATCGACTCCGTTATTTTGCCGTAGTATGATGTCATATTCTCAATGGAATATGTAAAGAGGAGTGTTGAGTGCGGAAACCGTAGATGCAGTTATCTTCAGCCTCCAACTCGAAAAGAACGATGAAGACTGGACAAAAAAAATCAATCATTTTCACATTATACTGAGTAAAGTCGAGTATGTAACGCAATCGAAAGCGAATTCTGAACACTTCATCTTCAGAGACCAACCAGCCCTCACAAGCACTAAAGCGTGCACCCCATGTAGATGCAATCACTTTTCGGATAGAACTAAAGTGCATGGCACGCATGGCACAATCCAAAATAAAGCACTTTTACCACTTCAGAGCATCATCTTATAGAGCTCGACGAGCTGAGTTCNAAAAAAATCAATCATTTTCACATTATACTGAGTAAAGTCGAGTATGTAACGCAATCGAAAGCGTTCTGAACACTTCATCTTCAGAGACCAACCAGCCCTCACAAGCACTAAAGCGTGCACCCCATGTAGTTGCAATCACTTTTCGGATAGAACTAAAGTGCATGGCACAATCCAAAATAAAGCACTTTTACCACTTCAGAGCATCATCTTATAGAGCTCGACGAGCTGAGTTCAACGGTGTTTTCTTCTCCTCGGTTACTTCATTTTGAAGTGATTTATAGAGAAAAGGAAAAGACGAAAAAGACGCCATTTCGCGGTATTCGCGTGAATTTTCGAGTTCTTACGGCGAGTACTGTATAGCCAAATATGTGTGACATCTAACTAACCAATAAGTGTATGTAAGCTGTCCGACTGGTAGAGAAAGAGAATGCAGTGTAGTTGGGCGGCGCGGGGTACAATCCCATAATGAAGATGATTTTGCGGCAGCTCAGAAAGCCGAACTCCACTATTGGTAGCGAGAGCCGATCCTGAGATACTCTTACCCTAATCTTGGAAACTTATTTGACCGAGATTGTGGGCTTGTGTGACGATTGAGTTGATTTTGAAGATCTTGTAGGGTTTCATATGGTTCGTCGAATAATCTCATGGCTGGATACGATCTTCTGACGATCCGAAAAAGGCGATTCGCCAACGTTGGACACTCAAGGTGTTTACCAAAATCGTTTAAAGCTGCACTAATGAGCCATTCCTGAGAGTGTGATCACTCCCCCTTTCGGGCGACTAGAGCGAGTTCAGTCCCAAGCGAGATATCTCTAAACTGCCACGATGGAGGAAATGTTTATAGTCAGCAGATGATCACAACTTCCTTGAACTTAGCACAGATATGGATTATGTCATCCGCTGCGTCGTGGCCTTGCTTGGATTTTATTTTCAGACATATTAGTCATGGCTGGATAGTAGTGTAATGCGTTTGCTGGTGTACCCTTCTGTCAAGCTTCTAGTATGTTCTAGCATATCCTAACGACAAAAATTTTCGTTCCACCGTTATAAAGTTCACAGCCAAAAATTAATTTCGGTGCAAGACTTCTAAAGCAACTCAATGGTATAACTCAATGGTAACAGATAAAAAGCTTTATTTCTGCCAATTCAGTTCAAATGATCAGAGCTTGTTTATATCACCATCAATTATCCTCACAATTTATCACAGACCATGAATGAAGAGCACTAGGTGAATAGGTACAGTCACTATTGTTAGCCATTTTAAAGCTCGAATCAATCATTAACTCGCTATTGTAATTTGGTTTTTGCTTGAGAAGATTCGGGAATCAAAAAGAATATCATTCTTTTTCTTTCAAAGCAGCTCACAAAAAGATTAGAAATTTATTTTTCAAAGACAGCTTTCTCCCATGCACGCAGCGCACGCTCCAACGATGACATCCGCAATAGCCAGAACCATCGCTCCGACAGCCAACCAGAATGAGTAGCCGACCTCAAATTACAAGCAAGTAATGACTTTTAATACTTGTTCTTCTAAAAAACAAAAATGATTACAATGAAATATAAAGCGGGTTATCCATCCTTATTAATCGCTTGACCCAGGGATGCACAATAATTTTATGTTCTGTTTACACTCGTTCCCACTGGATAAAGCATCTTCAGTGATTATCTGACCAGCACTGTAACCTCCAAGACCTATCTTGGAACCGATATAGCCCTCTCGAACCGTACTAACACCCCTCTATTAAGTGGTGCAAAACTAAAATTCACAATGCTAAGCCAGTCTTGATCTCGCGTCCGAGCACTATTTTGTAATGGTTCAAGGTGTGATAGGTTTGGTCTTCTTGAACTAATTGGTGATTGCTAACTTCAAAATCGTTTGAGTAATTAGCCGTGTTCGCATCCCAGGTGTAAAAAAAGTTCCGCTGAGTACTTACTGATTAATACTTATCATTTAGTTTCTTTTCAATTGAACTTTTTGATATATTAGAGTGTGGCATTGATGTATGAGAAGAATTTCTGCCGACTTTTCATAACTGATAAAGACATTTGCATGGTGTTTTTTTAAGGATAAGACACTTGATCAATTGACTGCTAATTTCGGGAAAGTTATTCCGTTTGCAAATTGTGCAGAGCGCAAGGTGTGCAGATTCCACGTAGTTATCATGAAGGCACAGTTCTTGATATTTCTGAGGTATTCGCCTTAAGTGGAATAATCGAAGTGATCATGCAGAACAGTGTATAGAAAGTGGAGCAGCGCGAGCACATATGGATTTTTTGAAATATAAAGCTCGAAAAAGTGGTAAGAAGACGGTTGCAAAATTATGTGTCTGTGATCGTCTAAATGTCTACCCCGTACGCGTACTCTTCGTTTGCATCTTAAGGCCTCATTGTGAATGGTGCAGCCTCAAGATGCCTGTACACGGCCACTTTTGGGTGTGTACTTCAGAAAAGCCGGTTTTGTGGCCTTCAAAACGTCTTGCCTAGGTCATTATTTGACTCAGGTATGTTCCACTTGCTACCTTGGGCATCACAAAATCATTCAAGGGAGAACTGTGGCAGTTATGCGACAAAACGTTATCCCCTGTATTCGCAGTTAAGCATGGAAGAATTGCTCTTTGAAGACGGCTACATTTTAATGTTGTATACTTTTGTGAGACGAATGATGCGCATTAGAGAATTGTTCGAAAAAAAGCCCAAACGATTTCAAGAGAAGTGTTTTTCCAATGCAAATTTTCGGTAATTAGTATCATAAGCACATCACTCATTGCAATTCCGCTCGAACATAGTTAATGGAGTATAAACAGTTCACCGGCAGCATTCATAACACTGGCTTTTTTAGAAAGAATTTTGAGCGGAGTTTTACGAATTGAGAGGAGTTTCTCATTTTCGTACGAGATGTACTCTGTTCAAGGGGGTTGAATGTCCAGTACTTAACAGAGGGAGTAGGACGAGCCACGAACGGACCCCTTAAAAGACAGATGAAAGTCAAAAAGAACTGAGCATTTTTCACCCATGTTCTAGGAACCCATCGTACAGGGAATGTGATCATATGCGGTTTTTTTACAGTTTACGATAGTTTTGTGTTATCTAGTTTTTGGCGAATGGAAGTGATAGTCCAGAATAAAGCAAAAATGGCAAAGAATACGCGAAAATCGGTGTAAATGGTCAAAAAAATTAAATTCAGGGGTTGGACGAGTGCGAAACAGAAAAAGCTGCATGGAAGCGGTATTAAGACGAGAATGTCACGGAAAAAGCAGCATGAAATGGTATTTGGACGAGCTGTTTGAAAGCGCGTGTTATGCATACAGCTGGCTGCAATACGCTGCCTGCGTGCGAGTCCCGGTGCAAACGGTGCAACCTCTACAGCTCCCACAACGTTTACCAACTCGTCCGCCTTGAGTATGTACGTCGGCTGCTACGCCCTTATTACGCCCTATCTTGACTGGTTTCACAACGACAGCATACTATAGACTAACGTGGGGGGGGGGGGGGGNCGTCGAAACTAGGTCACGCCGCAGCCGTCGCCTGCGGAGGGTCAGCTCGCGATACTTGACAGACGTCGCAGTTTTCAGTGGAGCATACGATTCGCGCTTGGTCCACGGCAGTCAGCCAAAGAGAGGATAAATACGGACAGATGAAAGTCTTTCGCTCCACTGACACTTGGTGGTACCGTATTGTCATCTTGAAATCTCAGTGGGGTGCACCGCGCGCGAGGTGGGCGGGGTGACCTACTTTCGACGGATGCGCGCAACGGACGTCCTCCCATAAGTTCATATTAGGGAAAAACCTTAGAAACCATTTTAAATGATCTCCCTACAATCCTGTGTATAAACAAGTATGAAATTAAGTGGAGCCCGCAATTGATGTTCAAGAACTTTTAGTGTGAAACAAAAGGTGAATGAATTCTTTGAAAAACCGTGCTAGCTCACCTCAGATTTGATTTTCGACTCGATATCCTTCCAATTTTCGATCCCCTCTGAAATATCAGTTTTTGAAAGTTATTGGAGAAAGTGCAGAGGGAAATGATCAGAGGTTTTCTGAAAGGCAGACGAACATATTCAGAGAATCCATCAATTTCCTTTACAGTGTTCATCACCCCCAGATAACCTGACTAAGACGAGTGAACCGTACGAAAAGCTTCCTGATTCCTGAGCCCATAAACGACAACAGCTGTTGCGAGGGAAATAGACGTCGCTACTGCCGCCAGAGTCAGTGGATGTAGAAGAAATTGCTTACAGCAACACGCACACCTAAAAATTGATCAAAAGTCGAAGATACCTCACTACCTGTACGTGTAAATTGAGAAAAATCCACAAGTAGGTTCCCCTATCACTAAAATGAAGAGCGCTGTAAGGTGATGCTGGATGCTCGGACATTAGGGAAACCGAAAACACCACCAGGTGCAAGTGGGAGTTCACTGTATCGTATAGTATTATAAATGGTCAGAGTCATGGACAGCCATCAGACAGGCCATCAGAAGGGTCACCTAGGTAGCAACGCTACCCATTTAGGTTGAGCACGCATTGTTGAACGAGGGGAGATGGACAGGAGAGCTTGAGCTCGAAGGCTGTACACCTTGCTTTTGACCGTCGGTCGAGGCATTTTATCGCCTGATAAAAATACGAACAAATCCCAAACGTATTTAAGGCCATTGAACTTTCGTAAAAGCTGAGGTATCGACAGACGCACGAAAATTGCTTCCCGATACAACCGAAGGCGGAAAATGTCAAACTGGTTTCTGAGTGTTTCACCTTTACTGATACCATTGGTTGTTTTTGCACAATTTTTTGTTGGGTACCCGATGAGCTACTCCTTTTTCTCTTCCAGTTCCTTCTGATGTACTGCATCCCAACCACTGGATATAGTTAATTGGTATAAGAGGGACGTTACTGGCTAGGAGTTAAGCTAGTGTGGACCCCAACTCAGCCGTTAGCATCATCAAAATCAGCGGACAGCATAATTTGGAAAATATTGTGATTGTCAGCCTACCATGTAAAAGCGTTCCATATCAGTGCGATTACTTCAAATAGAACTGCCAGAACCATTGCTCCTATCACCACCTTCTCCCATGTTTGAAGATCCTAAAATTTTTGTACTAGATAATGGTTAATGAAGACCGGTACCGAAAAATTCAATCACATTCCACCATTTTTCACAGTATTCCAAGCCAGTAGAATTAGTGGGTGAAGTCGTGTTGCCGCCTGGCATTCTACAGGCGAACGGAAATATCCCCATATGGTCCGGTAGGTGACCTTTCAGAGCATTCTCCTGTAGTTCGTCACCAATTTTCCTCCAACCTGGAATATAAGTGTGAGCGAAAACAATCTACTATAACTAGCAGTTGTTGACAATGAAGAACTCGTAAGTGACCCAGAACAATTACAAGTGCTCCTAACGCTTCATATTTTGTCGGAGTGAGGCTGTTCTCTTTATAACTGCCAAAACGCGCGGCACTATCTTGAATCATGATTTTCGAAGCCTTAGAAACGTCTCAGAATTACAGGAAATTTGCCCCAGCTAGGCATGTGGGGTGCGCTTCGTTGCGCGCGTTCGTCAAAACTAGGTCACGCCGCAGCCGTCGCATGCGACGCGCCAGCCTGCGATCTTTGACATACGTCGCAGTTGTCAGTGGGGCATACGACTTGCGATTGGTTCACGGCTGTCAGCTAATGGCACTTGGTGGTACTGTAATGTCATCTCGAAACCTCCGTGGGGTGTGCCGCACAAACTGTCGGGGTGACCTACTTTCAACGGACGCGCGTAACGGACGTCCTCCGTGCCCATGGGCACGGGTTTGACCCCCAACCCAGTGATCTCCCCTCAATATGTTTGAATCAGGCATTTGTGTTGAGAATCCTATAAATAAAAGAGTTCCACGGATTTTCGCTTGACATTGAATAGTTGTAAGCGATAAAAACCAATACTGCCAAGTTGCATCTTCGCAGTTAAATTAAAGTTTAGTGACTTGACCCCCAAGGGCCCACATGGGACATTTTTATGCCGGAAAAATAGCCTAGATAGGGCGTAATAAGGGCTCCAAAGCTGACTTAGCCAACGTACGCACCAAAAAGAAGACGACGACGAATTCTCAGAAACAGAAGCACCGAAATGCCCACGTTGCATGCAAGCAGTTAACTGCAGCTAGCTGTACGCTTTCACACACACATTTGGACACCTCGCCCGATTATCGCCTTCTTGTGACTTTTTTTGTCACATCCTGATCCAACACTTCATTTTACTAGTTTTTTGAAGCTCATGTTACTTTAAATATACCAGTTTTCGCATTTCTTCGCTAGTTCTGCAGTATACTGAAATGTCACTTTCATAATTCGTCTAAATCTAAAACTCGATAACCCAAAATAACCGTAATCTCTGCCTTTAGAGCTTTTGACTTGCATGATTTCTTTGAGCACTATACATACATACATGCGTCTCTTGATTTGACTTTACAGTTTTCTTCTTCCTCACCAACTGATAAGCCCCAACACAAATATCACCAACTTCTTACCACTGTGAGTTCTCCTGATGGAAGATCATTGTTGTGGATTGTTTCTAAGCTTGCTTCTCAGAAGGGGTTCGGAGAGACTATTCGTAAAGTGTTGGGGAGAGCGATAAGCGTTAAATTTTGAATTACTGTAAATTTTTGCAGCACCGATGTGAAACAACCAGTCGTTCAAGGGGCAAGAATTTTGGAAAAGGACGCTGTTTTGAAACGCTTGTTCGTAAGAAATCAGTTCAAGCAAAAAAGGAACCTTTCGCTAGAAAGTCAGTCCCGTTTCGAATAATACATGTGTGTCTTTTTTTGAACGGAACTGCGGCTCGCTGAATGCCATTTCGGAGTTTTCCAGTTTTAATTGACCACCATATTTTTATAAAAGATCCGGGCAATGGGGGACCGGTAGGTCACCCTGAGTTAGAAGCACTTCAGAAGGGCCTACGTGCAGTTTATCCCAAAATTATGAACGCCTATTCATTCATATTCATGCATGTTCCATACTTCTGAGCTGGGAATAACTGACTTTATGTGCAATAACAATCATATACCAAAATATCCTTCATTAGTATGTATGCAGGCCCTTAGTCAGTTCTTGGCACCTCGCACGTTGCAACTATCTCTTCTACATTTCTTCCTATCCGTTCTTAAGTCATGCTTCCAAAGACTCCAAACTGATTGTGAGATGGTAAACTCGTTAGGTTTCCCTTTTATTCGGCGACCTCCCCCTTGCCCTCCCCCACTATTTGCTGATGGTCTGCTGAAAAGACCACAGGCTCAGGTGTTCCGGAAAATGGAATCGATCAGGGCTTGGGTGCGTCCATCACTAGGTGTTTCAAATATACGTCTTTGTCAATTGTCCTGCTGCAGCGGCGGAACCAATGGCGTCTCATCAATGCCTCTATTTCACTATTGCATAAATTTCGATGAAACGAGTGTTTCGATGAAGACGTAAAGGACGAATTTTTGTAAGATAATCTACTACTCCCACATCGATAAGGGCCAGGTGGGAGCAAACCATGGTTATTATGCTGCCTGCTTATGTGAGTTAGAAACGTATAACCCCTGAACCATTACCCACATAGCTACTTTTTTCTAGACCCGATGGAGGAATAAGCCAATCCCAAACCCAGGAAGTCCGCATACTAGTGTCCAGGTCAGAAAAACCAATTCTGCTGACTCTTCATCGTTATCAAACTCAGGTAGTTTTTTATTATCGGATGAGTTGNTGCTTCTTCGCTCTCATCTGATTACGAAACAGTTACCTTCGAATTTGTTGAATTCCTTTACTCTGAGCGGGAACCAAGGATGAAGCATAAAGTCTTCTGACGTTAATCAATCCCGTCTGAGGAGGCGCCCAGCACGCAAATTCCATTCAGAATCGTCGTGGCGTATTGAGGCGTGTGTGCCCCTATACAATGATTTGCGGTGACCAGCCGACGAGCTAGTCAGCGCTTTCATCCTCCCAGGCGCGAACTCGGAGAGCTAGAAGGCCTGGCTTGGCCTAGGTCGATACTTCATCACCTCCGCTCTCTTCACAAGAAAAAACTAATAAAATTTCCTTGTTCAAAGACTTAACAGTCACTTTACTTTATTACTGTTACTGTTCTTGGCGGCTATCACTTCTTCTACTGGCTCAATAACGACATGTGGGCAGTATAATGACCATCATGTTAACACACCTAATTAGGGTTACCCCTGTTGAGGTACAAAGTAACGTGTGTTTAATCTTTTTGATGTGTGCTCCCTTGCAAGTTATTCTGAATTTTCTTCAGCAAATCTGAGGAACATTTCTATTGGCTTCTATTCTTCACTTGGAACGGGAGTTTTTTCAGAATTTTATGCAGCCAATTTCTGAGATCCCAAGAGTACTCAGGCGCAAGGAAAACTGTGGAGAAGTTATGGGTGATGACAGATGTCTTTATCAATGGACTCTTTTTTTTACGGAGATATCAGTAGTTGAGAATTCAAAATTGCTGCCGGTCGGTTAAGTTTTGTCGCAAACGATACTGAGCAAAGAGAATCGAATTCTTCGTTGAATCAAAAACCTTGCTGGGTAGCGCTCGCGGTCTAATAGCAAGTAGTGGAAAATCGTCATCTGTTTATCCTATTGCCGCTAATGGGTTCCTATCACAGCACTTACCATTCACTTTTGTCACCTTTACTTTACCATCCCCTCTTATCGGCTGAAACATAGTGAAGGGTGAAAGCTACATCGTAAATACTGAAGACGTCAGGATTTTGATCGATAGGTCCCTTATATTCTCCTATCACCTATTATCGGCTCCTGTGACTAACTCCTACGATTCAGCCATNNCATCACTCATCAAACACCGATGTCCCACTGTCGATAAGACAAGTGTAATCCTACCAAGTTTGATCGCTCTAGGTCCAGGTAAACAGGACTTATGAGTTTGCGGCCTCAAATTTCTATCGCGCACGCCCAGCCCCCTGTAAGCGGAATCCGGTCCTGCCACCCATGACAAGTGTTCCCATCTTGTCTACTGTGCTCCTACCAAATTTCAACGCTATAGGTTCACGTAAACAGCAGTTATCAATTTGCGGCCCAAAATTCCTGTCGTGTGCGCTCCGCCCACTGTAGGCGGAGTCTAGTTCTGCAACTTGCCATAAGTATTTCCAGTTTGAATAAATTTCCGGTGAAAAACATACACACACCGACACACCCACACACACAAACAAACACACCGACAAACCACCAGACACTCTTAGCGAATTATTATAGAAGAAAGAGGTATAAAAGAAATTATTAAGATCCCATGCTCACAGTGGCAGTTATTCGAATGTATTATGTAATGTTCTGAACTCTAATCAATAGGTCCTGAAATAACTCAGAATAATTGAGGTGAAATAATTGTTGAAAGGTGATTTTCGGGCTCATACTTATGAGGAGTACCGAAATAGCAAAAGAGTTTGTATCTCAGGGATCCCTACTACTGACCTTTCATCTAAGCGAGATTCATTTTTTACGTTATTCCTAGGCAGGTTTACTTTTTCAGACAGAGTCTGGAAGTACAGTTCACCGTACTTCTAGCGTACCTGTTTTTAGTCAGAGTTGATAACCCAGAAAAAAAAGCCGAAGAACAAAGGTAGAAGCGATCAGAGAAATACAAGGCTATAACACGTTGACGACAATGTCGTGATTGGCGCAAGAATAATTTCAAGTTTAATTTTTCCTTTTAATTAACGTCTAACAGTCATGAATTCGTCCTGCCGGCAGCAGGGTTGTCATCAAAGTGAAGATGCTCCTGGATCTCCTCAGCTCGATCTCTTGTTATAAATCTCCGGCGATTAAATGTCCATTTCTTTCCAAGCTCTGGGGTTTTAGCGGCCAGTAATTCCGCTGATATGAAATGGACGCGGGATATCGACGCGGACTCAGAAAAGGTCCATCTGTCATACTTTTGAGCAACGTTCGCTCATATATTCTCTTCTCTGTCATAGTCATCATCTAGAGATCTCAATTTTGGAATCATCAGTGTCAGAAACAACCGCAGAGCCATATCATCGCCATCCAGACCACCGGGAGCTTCATCGTCGCTGTCAAGCAGCAAGTTATCAAAATTTTCG